AGCTTCAGCCCTCTGCTTTAGACCACATTCATTATTTAAAAATAAAAACAATAAGCTAAATTAGAAAAGATTAGAAAAGCCTCATTGGCATACCTAATTTATGTATAGGACTTTCATCATTAGAGAATTAATCTAAGTATGAAAGTTAGCTTTCATCTGTCAAATTACACCAGATTAAGCCAAATATTTTCAGTTTCTCTTGGTTCTTTGTTTACCAAAAACAACTAACACAATCCCTTGATGCTCTGCTTTCAAAAGGAGGTAAAGAGTCAAGAAGTCTCAATACACTATCAAAACCACAATTAAAATCTATTATGAATCCAAAGCTAAGTGCATACTACAAAGTTCTGTCCCTGCAGCTAGCTTGATATGTGGCATAAAAAACATTTTCTAATCAAGGTGAATCCAGTAAATTAATCATGTAGCCATACCATGAGAAAAAGGCAAGTTTCTCTTAATAGAATGCATTTTTCCTGCAGAGTATTTATTCTTATTTGCAAAAGAAAATTTGTTACTGCTCCACCTCATCAGAATATTTTTGATGTATTCACAAATACACATTTAGATACACTTGCAAAGGAAGCACAGCTGTTTTTAGAAGTATTATAAAACAAGACCTGTAAACACAGAAATTTAGTTTTGGCCAAATGGAAGAGTCAGTGCACTGATCCGAAGACAGCAAGGTCTCCCAGTGGAATAGATGGTTACTTTGAAAAGGAAGAAACACCCAAGTCCTGTAACTTATCAAGTGTTAAGCTGGGAGAAATACCACTGGCTTCTGAAACAAAGTTATTCTTCTGGAAAGATGAAGACAGTCCTGCAGTTATACCTAGGCTGAAGATTCAAAGCAGTTAAATAAAGTGTAGTAGGCGTAGCGAGGACACGGTGTGTGACGGGGTCAGGTTCCCTATGCTCAGGGCTTGCCAGGTGCTGTCCCACGATAGGACAGCGTGAATGCAAGGGGTGTAGACAAAGCAGGGACGAGAATATTTAAGTGCCTGCTACATTTTAATAAACGCCATTTTGCTTCACCTATACTTGGGGTCTGTGTGAGCATTTGGCCCCGACCTGGTATGGGGTCGGTTTCGCTGGCAAAGCAGCACCTTATGGGGTGGAAAACGAGTGTTGCAGAGAGAACGGCAACAATAAAGTGAAAAAAGAAAGACAGCTTACAAATGTTTCATTTGCAAATAATAAGCCATATGTATGCACATACCGTTTAAATGCACATCTATAATTTTAAAAGCTTACAAACTAAAAATCTGGAAATATGAAGATCACATACTTACAGAAACATTAATACTAAAAATAAACTGAAATCGCTTGTGTGATTGAATGAGGACAGCATGAAACTGTTTTCTTCTTAAGCAGAGAAGTTTGATGTGCCAACAGAAGCAAGCACAGTGGCAAAAATGGGCAACCTAGCCACAGCAGTTTTACTATGAAAATCCATTTGGTACCTCAGAGCATGCTGAGCTACAACTTACATCCTAGCTACCTAAACATGAAGTAGATCTGCCCTGTCAGTGAGAAGTCAGTTGTACTCTCAATTAAAGAGATATTTAAGATCATCTTTTCTCAGTTACCCAATACCAGGTGATCCAATACTTTCACAGCAGATGTACCCAAATGTAAAATGCAGTAATTTCTGCCTCTGGCATTGCAAATCTCTGAAAACACAGCTCAAGTTATCTTCAAAAACACATCAGTTAAAACTGACCACTATCATACTTGAGATAGAAGATACGCAATGCAATTCTGCACTCTAATTTAATCATTAATCAAGATGTTATCAGATACAGGAAAACAATATGATGACACAAAGCTTCTCCCTCTAATACGCTGCAATCTGTAATAGACTAGTTCATTACTGTTTAGTTAGAATGTTATGTAATGGCTGAGGTATTTGGAATAAAAACAGTCTATTTCTGTTAGCCTGTTCTTCATAGACATAAAAGCTGTCTTCATCTGATTTTTATTAGGACTTCATCTTCCTCTGCTCTTTATGCATTTATTTATTTATTTTTAAGTCCACCCCATTTGCATTTCACAAACACGTGCACACTGTATTATCTCCCTCACCTCCTCACACCAATCTCAGCTTTTCTTTTTACACCTGCTTTCACCCATGGAAAGTTTCCACAAGGTTTTGTGAAACCCAGTCCTGAAAAAAAAAAAGAAGGCCCACCAACAACCCACAAACGAGGGCATGAAACTGAGTGAAGAAAAAATTCAGTACTGAAGACGAACAACTGGTTCTACCAGTAAAATACCACTTGTGGTCCCGTCATTACAGGCCCAGCATCCATCCCCAACTAGTGGAAAGGTGCTGCATTTCCAGGGCGGAGGTTTTCTTCCCCCTTCAAATCCTCCATTACTATAATTGGCCTCTGTCCCATTCTTCCTTCAGTGACTACAGGAACATTTGTCTTCCTCACTCCCACCTCCAATGAATCATAGAACGGCCTGGGTTGAAAAGGACCACAATGATCATCTACTTTCAATCCCCTGCTATATGAAGGGTTGCCAACCAGCAGACCAGGCTGCCCAGAGCCACATCCAGCCTGGCCTTGAATGCCTCCAGGGATGAAGCATCCACAACCTGCTTGGGCAACCTGTTCCAAGTACATCACCACAATCTGTCTGAAAAACTTCCTCCTAATATCTAACCTAAACCTCCCCTGTCTCAGTTTAAAACCATTCCCCCTTGCCCTATCACTATCCAAAATGCACTATACAAGGGTTTGTACCTCTGCAAGAGCACACTATGCATGGGTTTAATCCTCCTGCGAGAGCTACCTTTTCCTTTCTGTTTCCACATCTAAGCCTCTTATCCACATCAGCCTTATATGGTATTTAGATTGTTCTCCACCCTCTCTCCACTTTCACATCACTCCCACAGCTGACTAGGGAAATACTCCAGACTAAGGGGCTTGCACTTTGTGTAACCCCACCAACATATCCACTGCTTTGCCTTACATTCTTTCATTTTATTAATCTAAGAAATCCATTCAGACAGAACAAAACCTGAATAAGAGCTCTCTCATCTTTTGATGAAAGTACCATCTCTTCCCTGTTCTTTGTGGGTCGTTTAACCTTCCTAAAGAAAGTGCATTCCATAAATCTGTACCATCAAAAAAGTACTCCTGCAACAAGGAAATTACAGCTGTAAACAGATGCAACTATTTGTAAAGGTTTTCCTACAAAAAGCTAGGGCTCCAGTTACTAAGTCTAAACAAAAGTAAAGAAACTACAGGTTGATATTAATAAAATATCTGCAGAAGACTAGCCAAGATGACTGTATATTGATTTACACACATTTTACAAGCTATTACTTACCAAAGCAACACCTAATGTACAAAATACATATACAGTAGGGTGGTGCTTCAGGTGACAGGAACCAGTCCTGGTGGCCATACACAAGCACTGGCCTATGCCACTTCCCAATTCAGCTCACATGGCCACTTTTAATTAATACACCTGCATCACAGCAGCCATAACCTCACACACTGAGCCCAATACTGAGTGACAAAACGCCTCTTCATTGAACTCTAAGTCCAAAGAGCTCTCAAAACTTAAAGGTTCCTTAGTCCCACGAAAGACCCTGGGGAAGGGTCCCAATATTAATAACGAAGAAAAGTTCTCTGTGTTTTATGATTCAAAGGAATTTGAGAACCATTCATCTCCTGGCACTCAGTATTATAAGGCTATCCTTTCGTTTTTTCCTGATGGACAGATGAGATCATGTCCCATTTCCTCCCCCATTAAAATGCAGTTTCTTGTCCAAGCACAGCTCTTAAAGCTAGACAATGGGTAGGCCTGATATCCCACACCACAAGAAACAAATCGATTAAAAAAAAAAAAACCAACCACTCCTTCTGCTTGAAATAATGCTTATTTCTACTAGTACACCCAGCTGACTCCAGTAACCAAAAAATGATAAGGAAAATCAGCCCTTTTCCAATGAGAAAGGGTTCAAGACCTTTCACAAAGGGACATGCTTACAAAATGCATGCCCAAGACACAAAAGGAAAAGAAACCACACAGCGTTCCCTACAACTCCCAGCACCAGGCTCTCATGCATGCTCTGATTCCCCCATAAAGATGGCCTGAGCTGGAAACTAGCCCCAAAATTTCAATCTGTATCCGTGTGTGATGGCTCCCATTGCGCTCATTGAAGACCACCTACTTGAATTTTAGCCATGTCATCTAAACACGCTCACACCATGATTTAATCGCTAAACTCCCCCCCCCAGCCCTCTCCACCCCACTCCTACAAACCTCATCCCTGAAAGCAGAAGCCACAATACCTTTCCCAAAGGTGCTTCGCTCACATCTAAGAGAAATAACCCAGCAGCAGCAGCCTTTTACTGTGCACCTCCAGAACTGTGGATGAATATTTCAGAGTTAGGAAACCAAGCCGCAGCGCCCAGCGTGCCGCAGGAAAAAAGCCTCCCCCCGGGGGATCTCGGGAGGAAGAATCAGTGCCACAAAGAGAGCACGAACGCTGGGGATCCCCCGAGAAAGGCACGGAGACGTTCAGAGAGAAAGGGAGGAAACAGAACCGAAGGTAGAAATGGAGAAAGGGACGGGAAATGGGGAAAAAAGATGAGAAACGGGGAGCCGTGGATCGGGAAGCGGCCCCCGCAGCCCGGCCGTGGGGCGAGGCCCGGCGCTGCGCCCGCTGCGGGGCGCGGCCGGCCGCAGACGGCGATGCGCTGCGTTGCGGCCCAGCGGCCCGGCCCGCTGCAGGCCCAGCGCCGCGCCGCCTCCCTCCCTCCTTCCTTCCCGCTCTCTCTCCCTCCCTCCGCCCGGCCGCGGCCCCGCGCGGACCCCGCTCCTCGCCAGGCCGCGGGCCGCTCAGCACCGCCGCCAGGCCGGCCGGAAGCCGCCCCCGCCCGAGGCCATGCGGCGCAGGCCGCTCTGCCGCTCCTCCCGGCGCCGGTTCCTCACCGCCGGCCGGCGAAAAGCCGCTGGAGAAAGGAAACGGCTGCTCTCACCTGGCGCGCAGCGCGGCGGGCCGGCGTTCCGGCCTCCCCCACTCCGCGCTCCCCGGGGCTCCCGGATTCGGCGAGGCCGCTGCCGCTCCCGGCGCCGCGACGCCGCGCCTCAGCCGCTTCCACACAGGGGCCAAGATGGCGGGCGGCCAAGCCGGCGCCAACGACGTCTGACCTCACCGCGCCGCGCGCGCGCGCCACCCCTCGCGCCGCCGCCCACGTGACCTCACGCCGTGCCGCAGTCCGGGAGGCGCGCGGAGCCCGCGAGCGCCCCCGAGCGGTCGGAAGTGTCGGCTCCCCCCCAGCGGGAGGCGCGGCGTGCGCGCCCTCTGCTCTCCCGCGCCCTTGTCTGTGTGCGGGGTGGGCTGGCGGCGTGCCGTGGCGCAAAGCCGTGAGGCCGCCTCGCCCTTCCCCAACCCCCATCGCCATTTAGTCAACACGTTAGTAAAAACATGGAACCCCACCGTGCGTAGCACCGTTAGAAGCTCGCTGAGGTTTATTTCCGGCTAGCCCCTCCCAGAAGTTTCCATACGGACACAACTGCCGTTCCCCAATCCGCAGTGCTGAGGAGGCCCATGCCCTTCAGCCTCATCCCAGAGCTCCCCGCAGTCCTGTCCTGCTGCATTTCAACCACAGACAGGGACAGGGGGGTGAGGTCCCACGCACACTGGACCCACAAACACCGCCCCGTTGGCAGCATCCTCATAGGGCTCTTCTAGAACATAAGTCCTACACGGGGAGCCCACCTCAGCTTGGGATATTTGGAGAGGAGGAACCCTACTGCCAGTGCTGTGGGCAGGGCGAGGAGGCCCAGCCAGTGCCAGGAGCGTGAGGAAGCGCTGTCCTCCAACACCCGAGTTCTCAAAGGTTTCAAGACCCGCTGCCACTGCGTCAAGATGGCAGCCCTGGCCCCGCTCCACTGCCCCCGTCCCATCAGGCGGTACTGGTAGGATGTGCAGGGCCCGAAGAAGACAGCCAGGGCCAGCCAGGGGTCGGTCAGGAGCAGCCGCAGCATGCTGGGCTTCACACCGGCACACGAAGCAATCTCGCTGGTGTAACTAACGAAATTCAACCTCAAGTTCTGCTTCTCAGACACATCCCTTCCATGGAGCATAGAATCAATACAGAAAATCAAACAGAATGTTATGTTCCCATTTTGGTTCGCAGCTCTGGGCTCGCAAGAGCCACCACGTCGCAATAACCACATGTTGGCTGAGCTCCTTCGGGCTGCTGTAGGGTGACATGAAGGGACCTAAAGGCACCCAAAGAACCTTTGTGCGGGGTTATCAGCAGCTGCCCTAGCGCTGATAGTGCAAGGAAGAGGCTCTGTCTCATAACCTGCTTGTGGTCTCTGAAACACAACCCACAGAGTGGCCTGAGCTAGGAAACTGCCCCTGAACATGGCTCCAGAGGGCTTTAGGGATGGGATGTAGCCTTCAGCCCACGCTGCCCATTTCCTAGACTGGGGAGGGAGAAGCCACGAGATGGCACCCTCTGTCTGGAGGAAAACAAAGCTCCATGCCGAGGTGCTGTGAGAGAGGATGGGTTGTAGAGGACACACAGGGGGACCTGCAGGTTATGGGTGCTGTGCTGTTTCCTCCCCACATTGCTGAGGGTTTGTTTCATTCCAGAGCTCAGCATGGATTAGCAGAAAGGGTTTGGCAAGAGAGAGGATCAGCTTTTCTCAGCTTGATTTGCTTACGAAAAGCAAAGGCATATCACACTATAGCCCAAGTACAGGAGCATCACACACCTTTTGACTGGCAACTGTTTTTTCAAGACTTCAGCCATCATCTTGCTGCTGGGAGGGAGTTTGCATGCACCTGAGAAGAGTAAAGAGACCAGAGATCATGCAGAACACTATGAGCAGAGCAGTTAGTAATCCTTCAACCCATTCCGTGCTCCCAGCACCTTCACCAAAAACACTGAGCGTGGTGATGCCCAGCACGGTGCCAAGAGCAGCAAGTTGACCTGTCCTCCCTCCCCAGCACCTCCTCTATCCCTGCAGTCCCTCTCCCACCTGCAAAGACTCCTGTCACCCAGCGAGCCTGGATTTCTGCTCCCACCATCACAGCGCCAGTCAGCTGGATCAAACCAATGATAGCCAGGGTTGGCCTTTCCAGCTGGGGTGGGAAGACGCATTTATAGAGGGTACGATTATTTTTGAGTGGGTTGCAAATCGACTCTTCAAGGAAGGAAAATGAAAATTTGTAGCCTGTGGCAAAGATCACCACATCGATGTTCTCTTCAGTGGTTCCGTCTTCAAAAATGGCGGAAGTTTCAGTGAACTCCTTCACATTCGATTTCAGCACAATGGTTCCAGAGAGCATGCAAAATGGCAGATCTTCATTGATAATGAAATTAAAATTGGAACTTTCACATGGAAAAAAAAGAAGGAGAGAAACGTTAGCATCTAAGGGAGACGCAATATATCTTTTGTGGCCTTTCCTAAGAAAGCTTGGGAGGGATGTGAGGGGTGTGTGCCTCAGGTTTGGATTTCTGCCCCCTGTGGCTTGATTAGCCATTGCAAACCACCCTGATGTGGGGTTGAGTTGTTGCCAGGACATGGACATCACTGAGTCCCCAGAACCCAACATGGCTGCAAACAGGCCCAAGAGTGTGAAGCTATACTAAATGCATTATCAATGAAAAAAAAAATCCTCTCTGATGGTTTGCTATTCTGCAAATACCCTTTGAAATGAAAGATGATTTCACACTATTAAAAAATAAATTCTAATAACAACAACAAAAAAAACCACACCACAGAACAAACACCTTTTAGCAGAAGCCAAGCCGTAGATCTCGTGGTTAAACCATGAATTTATCTTCCAAATCTTGATCCTTTTCATGATGGCTGATGGGAGAAGCCATTCGAGAAAGTGATTAAAGCGTGTGGTGCTGAGCATGTCCCAGGGGAAGCCATGGTTTGCCACCCGGCTGAACACCCACGTGCTGCTCCTGGCACTGAGAAACACCTGGCAGAAAAGGCAGGCCTGAGGACTTCATGCCCAGAAACCTGACTTCCATTTTTGCCTGACATGGCAAATCCCAACTCCTGTGCTTGTGAACAAGGTCCCAGCGAAGGCAGCCGGTGTCCAGATGAACCAACCAGTTCATGGTGGCTTTTGCAAAGTTCCCAGATAGTCCAAATTCTCCAGAAATTGTGAATCTCATTCAATTGGCCTCAATTTAAAGCTTGTTTGTTGAGAAACCCAGTGGGCAAGTGAGAGGAAACCCTTGGGGAGCAAAATTGTGAGTTTCTGTGGGTACTGAGAGGTGAAGATAGAGCTGTAATTGCAAGATGGACAGAGAGAAGAAATCAAAGGTGTGCAGCATGGCTACTAACAGCAGTGCAGCAGCCTTGTATTTCTGTTCAAGAAGGTGCTTTAGCATCTTCTGTGTGCTTGTAGACATTTATAGGGAGGAAAGTGGGGACAGGAGGAGCTTGGCTGTGTGTCAGTAAAGTGGAAAAGCAGTGATGAAGCCTCGCTCAGAGAGTGAGTGGTTGAAGGGAAGGCAAGTGTTGAATGCCAGGAAAGGGTTGAGCAAGAACCATGCAGAGGAAAAGGAAATGTGTCCCTGTGGTGGGTCTTGCTAACCTTGGCTTTGAGAGAAACCCTGGTTTTAACCTCCCTCCTGCTTCTCCTATTTCCCACCCACCATGATGCTGTACCTTTGCAGCCACATGACTCATATCCACAGCAATATCACAGGCGGTGTTCCCAATGCCAACCACGAGGACCCGCTTTCCCTGGAAAGCAGCTGCATCTTTGTATTCCAGGCTGTGGAAGTACTGACCTCTGAAGCGGGTCTCAATACCTGTGCAGAGGGTGAGGAACACACCACACTTTCGCACCGACTTGATGCCAAGCCCTGGTCATGCTGCTTTGCAACCAAGCCCAGTGCTGCAAAGCTCACAGAACTCTCAGCTCCACTAGTAGTTGTGATGCTTTCACCTTCTCCCACTTTTCTGAGTAACCTTGTCATGGTCCTGCTCAGAAAATCCTCATGGAACAGCACTGTTGCATCTTCATGATGTGGTTTATCCATTTCTGGATATGCCCGCATCCATTTTCATGGGGCAAGTGTCACAGGTGCCTTGGCCGGTGAGCTTTGTGGAGCAGAGGGACAACCCCAGCCTACCCCACTGCAGAGGCAGGACTCACCTGGGAAAGAAGCCAAGGGCAAGTGGGGGTTCTGGAAGTTTCCTGCGCAGACCATGACAGCATCAAAGATGTGCGACTCCTGGATGCCCTCTGTCTCAGTGATCACATCCCACTGGCCTGAGGTGGCAAAATCCGGGCGCCTCCTCACACTGATAACTGTTGTCTTGAAAAGCCCAGAAACATTAGCATCAGAGACTGTGCTCACAAAGAGCTGGGGCTGCTGGGCCTTTGGGTACCATTCACATCTGAACTGCAAAAATAAACCTACACCTTCCCCCTGCATGGGGCACAGGATGGGGACCATGAGGCAGTCCATGCTCAAGCAGCCTCACTTAAAAAATGGAACCAAAAAGGCTGCACTGAGGATGCCCGGAGCGTGCAGAGCTCATGGGCTTCACACCCACCCATCTAATGTGTCCCACCCATCTAATGGCAGCTCTTGCAGCCCCTGAGACCCTCCTGCTTTCGGTCCCAGCCCACCTTGAAGCGGATGTGCCTCAGGAGCTGGAAGTGCTGAGCATACATGCGGAAATACTCCAAGAAGAGGCTGTGAGGGAGGAAACAGGGGAAATCCTCCGGGAAGGGGAAGTCGCTGAAGCAGGACATCTCCTTGGAGGTGTTGCTGATGATGGAGCGGTACACACAGACCCTCCCGCAGTCTGCGTTGTCCTGTGAGAAGCGAGCAGGGCTGTTGTGGGAGCACAGGGGAAGAAGAAAACCAGGCAGAGCTCACTCACTGCAAAGCGCCACAGCCCCCCGATGTCCTCGCTTCTCTCGAAGCAGGTGGGCTCCAGCCCCTCATCCAGGCAGCACTTGGTGGCCACCAGCCCACTGGCCCCGGCCCCGATGACGGCCACTCGGCGCACCATGGTGTTCTGTTGGCAGCAAGGGGATGGAGAGTGACCAACAAGGAAATGAGGAGAGCAGGAATCAGCAAAAACACAGCACTTTTCCTCCCACCCCCATGGCTTGCTTTTGTGCTTTTGTATTTAATTTCCATTAAGTAGGAAAGAAAAAGGCTTTAGGAAAAAAACTGCCACGATGCCTGATGGGGTGGGGGCATGAAGCGGCGATTCAGAAGTTGCGCAGTGTTGTGAAAGTGCTGCTTGCATTACAAAACATGCAAGGCGAGAAACCCAGGCGAGGCAGGGTTCAGGGGAGGAAGTGCAAGCTCAGCTGTGTAAACTGAGCTGCACTGAAACCAGCATAATCAGAGAAATGAAAAGAACGAATCTCTGCAGACTCATGCAGTCTCAAGAAAGATTCATTTATAACTTGCTTTCATCCAATTTTACATTGAAGATTAAATTAACTTAGATAGGAGCTGGAGGATAGTGCAGAAATCCAGAGAAAATGACCGGGGAGAAGCAAGGGACTCAAGTACACCCACAGATGCTCTCGTCCAGCTGCAGCTCTGTGCCACAGGAACAGGCACAAAACCCATATAGCAAAGTGAGTGTGCCTTCAAGCCAGTCACCACTCCATCTCCATAAAACCCCCAAACTCACCTGCCCCGACGCCAGTCCCGCTGGCCGGCTGTCTTGACAACACGCAAAATGCAGCCAGAAAGGAATTCAGAGCAAACTTTCACTGTGCCTTTTCTGCTTAGGGCTCATCCGATCTTCTTTTGGAGCTTCTCCAAGCATGGATTTAAGGGCAAAGTGGAATTCTGCCCGGCCCTGCTCACAGGACTGCTGCACCACTGACCTTTATACTCATGCTCACTCCACTGCCAGTGCTTGAATGCGTGCACAGCAAAGACATGGACCTTAATCCCTAAGGCAGCATGCTTGCAGGGACTTCCACCCGTGATACTGGGGTCATGTCTGTGCCTGAGGACCCCTGCATCCTGTCCCAGGGCAATGGGCCACCAGGCTCCCTGTGCCTGCCTGCTGGCTTGGGGGAACATGGGCTACTGCGTGCTGTGCAGTAAAATCTCCACAAATGGAGGGCACCCACTATCACTGGAGGAGGTGGCGGGGACTCACGTCTTGGTTGGCTGCAAGGTCCTATCTCAGTGAGTGAAGACATCCCCACATGCCCCACTGCTTGCACCAGTAGGAGATGCAGGCGCCAAGGAAGGTGGAGAAGGACAGGCAGGGTTGGTCAGAAGCAGTATATTGGACTTGGTGCCAATGAAAGGGGCAAGGCACTCCATGTACACCCTACAGTCAATTTTGAGGATTTTGTCAAAGGACAGCTCAAACCTTAATGAGTTGGAGGAATCCAGCATCAGCTGGGTTGGCAGAAGAAATGGAGGTCACACGCTCTACATCTGCATTGCTGTTGTGTCCCAACAGTTGGATCACTCTTAGGAAAGGCACTGGGGGGGCTGCTTGTTTGCCTAAATCCTGCCCACCACAGCTTATGCAGAGTGATCCTGGCTTTGCTACACCTTTTCTCACGTGCAGCAGTCATCCACAAGTTGCACCTGAGCTTCCTCTGCATCCTGGTGTACTTTTTCCAAATGATCTTTTTAAAATAGGATTTTTCTGTTCTTGTTTGGTTGTGGTGTTTTTTTTTTTTTTAAGTTTATTTTTAACTCGTTTTGCCTTTGCTCTCCCCAGAGACATCACGTGCTGTGTGAGAAAGGCAGCAGCACCCTCTAGCTTCCTCTCAAACTCATTTCCACTGTACACTGCAGGAAGGCACAGTGACAGGGAAGTTTGCTTCCAGCTCACCTGCCCAGCAGAATGCACAGCTTCTCCTCCCACCATAATATATAAATATACAAATATATTGTAATATATAATATATACAATATATAAAATAACCACATTGCACGGTTCTATGTTAGATAGTAATTATTCTGATCCATCCTCTATTTTGCTCTTCTACATCTTTCTTCCTTTCGCGTTCCAGGTGAAGCACAGATTAATACAACACACCCAATTTTGCCCCATTCATTTCCCAGTAATTCTCAGCCTTTGATTTGACCTCTTGGCAGCCTCCAAGCTCCACCCTGAGGCCTTCAGACAGCAGTTCACTGTGACTCAGATCTCTGTGCTGAGAGGTGAGATAATTTGTGTGTACAGCTTTTTTTTTTTTTTTTTTTAATTCTGCTGAATTAATTTGCATGTATTACCATTAATTTATCTGCCATTTTGTCTCAGGATCATGGCAAATTCCCCAGCTCCCCAAGCAAGCTTCAGTCTCAACTACCTTGAATCAATACATTCCCACCCTCAACACGCAAAATATCAGTGTCAAACCACAGGTTACATCAGCTAAGCACAAGCAAATAAATAAGAGGCTGGATGCAGGCATTTACAGTTTCCAGCCCCTGCTATAGACGCAGGGAGCAGCACATGTTGCTCTCTATCTTCTCTTTTACTTCCTTCTCCATCACAGAATGCGGAGGCAGCTGACAGAAGCCTGGGAAACAGATGAGAGCATCTTGGGGGATTTAACTTCTAGGGGGAGGGATGCATGGTCTCATTCTGCAATAACAAATGGGGGAAGCCTTTGTCCAGTAGGACAGGGAAGTCTCGTTACTTGTATTAAGCTCAGCAATGCTCATTCTGCCAAAGCACACTGAGATGAATTCACCTCCACCTTTTCCTCTCTTCTGGTGTTCACTGGGGACAAACCACCTGTCCTTTAAGAAGCACCAAGTCCTGCCAAGATGGATCCTCCAGAGTTCCTTCAAGACTCATATATACGCACCTGAATTTCTGTATTCATCTCTGTGCTCTGAAATATTTGAGAGAGACAAGATGTGCCCAGCCTGAAAGCATTTCAGTACAGGGGAGCTAGTGTAGAAGGCTACAGTATCAATGAGCTCCTCTTCAGGGCAGTTGTGGAAGACAACTGAGTTGTCCTTCAACAATATCTCCAGCACAGAAGCATTATGGTTTGAAAAGACCACTGGGATCACTGAGTCCAACCCCAACCTGCCTCCAGCATGCCCACTGACCATCCCTCAGTGCCACACCTCACAGTTCTTGAATATCTCCAGGGATGGTGACCAACCACTTCCCTTGGCAGCCCATTCCTGTGCCCAAACACCCTTTCTGAAAAGGAGTTTTTCCTAATATCCAACCTGAACCTCCACCGGTACAATTTGAGACCATCATATTTCATCTTCCCCATTGGTGGTGGTACCTCCATGGCACACAGCTGACCTCCACTCTGATGTTCCCTCCCGAATTGCCCATGCCAACCACAAGGACAAGATTCCCCTTAAATCCACTGGGCTGTTTGTACTGCTGGCTAGGAAAGCACCAGCCTTAATTATTTGAGCACCTGTGAATTCTATATGGACAAGTTCTGCAGGAACAATCCAGATGGCAAAAGAGAAGAGCTGCAATTGATGGCCAGTGGAGACTCAGGGAGGCCCAGCCCTCCATCCCACATCCACAGAATTGGTGTTTCCCTCCCAAACTGAGGTCTTTCACATCTCTGCACAGCAGGTAAATCTTTCACTCCCTTTACCTGGACTCTTAATTTACAAACTAGATGAACATTTAAAGCCATTTAATCTTCTCTCTTTTTTTTTTCCCCAATAAAGAAATCCACCCCCTTTCTACATGCCAGCCAGGCTGTTCATAAAGCCCAGCAGTTGCCCTGGAAACTCTCTTTATAGTCTGCAGCGCAGGGACAAACCACTGCCAATTTTTCTTGCAATCATGTTTGAACTACCCTTCTTTATTGGCCTTGCAAATATTTGAGTCTAATCTTTGGAGCTCTGCCACTGCCTTTCTTAGAAAAACAGAGTCAAACGTGCACGGCCTGCTCCAAACCCGTGCATCCTGTCTGCTGCCCCCAGGACAGATACCACCAGCTTTGGTACCAATGCAGCTGTAACACTGCAAATTTAGAGAAGCTTTGCTTCTGCCTCCCAAAGCCTTCCTACCGGGGAAGTTCAAGACAGACAGATGGATGGCTGCAGGGTTGCTGCAAGCCCCAGTTTGATCCCAGCATGGTCACCAGCCTGGTGGCACAGTGGCCAAATGGCACCAGCTCCTCCACTCTTGGACATGCTTCTGGCTGCTGGGGGACAGTGGCACTTTGGGGACACAGTGGCACACTGGGGGACAAATAGTCAGCAGCAAGTAGCTGTCAGCAGAAAAGTGGGGTTGGACGAATTTCTATGTAGCACTGCATTTCCTACGAACAATTTCAGCTTTCAGTAAGAACTTCAAAACTTTTGGCTTTCTAAGTACTAAATAAAAACTGGACTTTGTCAAGTTAAAGAAAAAAACTACAAGCATAGGCTGTTTATTTATTCACTACTTTTTTTTTTTTTTTTTTTTTTTTCCCCTTGCATGTCAGGAGTTAACTTGCATAACAAACATCTCAGCTATGCATGGCATTTCATTCCCTACCCTATAACAGAGAAGCCAGTGATAACACCCAGGACCCCATGCCCCCACTTGCCCCATGGCAAGAACTGCCACCCTCCTCTCCTTTCCCTATAGCAGCTAACCCCAAAAACAATGTGGGGAAGCAAACGTTCAACTCACTGCTCAGAAGGGCTCAAAATACTGAGAACCCATTGATATATCTGGCTATCCCCTTACCTCCCAGCAGCACGCTTACTGCTGTAGGTGGAGCAGCCCCACCTCAATTTATAAGGAACACGTGGTCCTACTGTGGGACTGGCTGCACCCATAGTGGTTACATAACCTGGGTTTGCTGTGGCACCTGGGATCTGGCACCAGGCCACCTGGGTGGGGGTGACCTCCATGGATCATGGTCAAAGGGATTGTGGTGGTGGGAAGGGCTGGTGTGATCCTAAGGCATCCTAGGTTCATTTGGGTGATGCTGCCCAGCAAACTTGGAGAAGGCAAAATAACCAGCAGCACAGCAAGGTCCTAAAGGCACAAAAAAGTGGAAATACTTTCCAAAATATCAATGTAAAATGTAGCACCCATCCAGACATCTCCCAGGGGTGAATTATGGAGATAAGGGAGAAAGAATGGCTTGGGATGCAGATACTTAATGTAATTAGGAGTGACTAGAAAAGAAAACATTAGACCCCTGTAGATGGGTATAGGGGGACACAGAGGTCATGCAGGACTGTGACTTTAGGACAGCTAAGGTTTAAGAAAAGACTATGAGTGTCTCTGCCCTGCCCCCCCACATATGCAAGATCTTGCACCTGCAAAAGTGTTTGCTAGGACTTGGCAAGAGAACATTGAGAATCCACAAGGGAAAACATGTTGTTCACATGCTTCTGGTTCCCTGGATTCCCCAGCCTAGATTTTCAGCTGCTTTCTGTCAGTGGGACATTGCTATCCAGGCTCTGCATGCTGGAAGAAGAGGGCCAGGAGAAACCAAACTGCCCTATGCAGGCTCAAGTAGGCTTCTTGTCCTCTCACCGAGGCATTTTAGATGCTTCCCAGCACCAAGCAGAAAGCTGAAATCCCATTCCCCCATTGCCCAGGGTGGGGAGGCTGCAGGAGGGGTGCGTGGGGACAGAGGAGGCTGTGAGCAGCTGCTGGTGGCAACGTGTCCCTATTTTTTTAGAGCTGGATTTTGGCCCTGAAAAAATTTGCTAAATTACTTGTGCATTGAAGCAGGAGGGATGCCCCCAGGGTCAAAAGGCAACTTTCCTGCTAAAAACACAAACAACAAAACCCACTACCCCAGGCAGGAGGGTCTGCTTTCCTGTTTACTCTGTGCTGAGAGCAGTAAAGAAGAGTCCAAAGCAAGCAGCAGCAAACACCAGCAGCACATTTATGTTTCTTCTTATCAAACCAGGTATGTCCCTCAGTACCTCGAGCTCTCACAAGAGATGCCACAGGGGAGACCCAAGGGATATGCCAGGGCAGGCATGGGCTTGTGAGCACAAGTGCTTTACTCCAACACACCTGGCAAAATTTAACCTGATTTAATAAGAAGTTCTATGTTTTCCATGTGTGAGGGCTGTGGACTTTGTCATGGTGAAGCCATTGTCCTCGTTAAACCTGCTGCCTCCCATTGTGTCAATGGAGGCAGGAAAGGAGCTGCCCTTAGCTTCTTGGGTTTGGAGGTTTCTATCTGCACAGGGAAATGTTTCCATCAGATGATGACTTAAAAATCTTCACAAGATCAGACCTGGTAGATACATGCTCTCTCCCTTGTTCGCCATGGCTTTGTACCAGGACACAAAGCAGACCCCAACCACAAAGCACCTTCCAACCACCTCTACCACTGTCCTCAAGTGTTTTTAAGAATTCCGTCAACACAGTTGGTCACGTTCTATAAACACTGACCCTCCTCCTGAGCTCGGTGTTTAAATACTTTCAATTCCGTCAAGTACTCCAAGAGCACCTCAAGTGCAGGTATGCCGTGCTTGACATTCCCAAACTCTGGCACAGAGACACAGCAGTGCTCCCCATCCTACAGGGATGAGCTCTAGCACCACCTCAGCCTCCACCCAGGAGCACCTGCTGTGTTGATTCCCAGAATGAAGTTCTGGGTAAGGACAAAAACCTGAATATTAGGCAACCTACTGCTCTCTGTGCACTCAAGTAGAGTCATAGAATCACTAAGGTTGGAAAAGACCTCTAACATCACTTCCAACCCCAACCCAGTTCCACTATGCCCACCTCCCACATCCCTCAGGGCCACATCTCCACAATTCTTGAGCACCTCCAGGGACACTGACCTCACCACCTCCCATGGCAGCCTATTGCAAATCTCCACAGCAGAGCCAGGCTATCAGCTAACTGCATTTGGAGATTCAAAGACATTTTGCAATATCACCTCTCCATCAGTTTAAACGTCAGCTTCCTTAAGTTGATAGAGGAGCTCAAGGCTTTGCTTGCTAATTGGCTGGAGGAGATGCTGGGCATTCACAGGTGGTCCTAATGCCATTGGGCTGCACTGGATGGTGGGAAGAAAAGAGCATGGGATCTCTGGTTTCTTGTATACAAAGTGGATCTGGAAACAGCACCAGAAGTGAGCTGGCAATGCCTTCTCCTGAGGTTGTTTTGACCCAAGTCCTACCCAGGATAGTAGAATTCTCAGTCTCGCCTCCCCACATCTTCTTGTTGTTTTTTTTTCAATTTGTCTGAAGGGAACATCACCCAGTTGTAGGATCGCTTTCTGCAGCTTCAGAGCAGAATTATAGGAGATACCTGAGCTTGGGCCCACCAGCACCACGTGCTCCTCCTGCAGGCTCCTACAGCCTGGCCCACTCCAGACATACTATCTGTACCCTGAGATGCTGTTCCCCATCTCCCAGCCCTCCTGCAACTCTCTGCCCAGCTCCCAGCCCCATCCACCCCCTTCTTACATCAGCCTCCAAGCCTCTTTCCTTCAGTTTTTATGCAGGCTTTCAAGGCATAACCTCACCTCACCCAGTGTATTGAGGGGGAAATCCACCCAACCTACAGCAGGAGACACACAAAAACTGTTGCTGGTTACATCTCAAAAGTCTTTGAACCAGACAAGGGTAAGCCAGGCTGAGCTTGCTGGACTTCAGACCTGTATGGGCACAGGCTTTTACATCTGTTTGTTATGAGCAAACCCAAGCAGAGAGTAAATAACAGGTCAGGCAGGACTGGAACCAAGACTCATCTCTTCTGTCCAGGGAACAGCTGCTCCATACCCTGCACTCAAAATCACCTAGAGAGTGGGACATGGCCACGGTCCTCACAATGAAACCACCAGTCCATCTTTTTGCTCATCAAGTATGCATTCAGATGTTTTATACCAGGCTTCACCCTTGAGCGAAACTTTGTGACCACGGAGATGTCATAACCAACTCTTACTTTCTAGGTACAGCAATAAGAAAAGAAGTAAGTCTGGAATTCACAGCTGAATAGGTAATTCTGTTTTTATTATCCATAGCAGTTAAAGTATTTTGCTGTTAACACTCAAGTTAAAGTAATTTCCCACATCAAGCCTGATGCCTGGCTCAGCTTGCAGCCTATAGCATGTATTGATCACAGAATGCAATAAAATTCACGATGCTAAAAGAAGATTAAAACCACTTTTCCTCTTATCTGAAATGAGAAGCGTATCCACATTTCAACTGGGACAGAATTGATTTTTCCTTCACAATATCTGGTATGATGCTGTGTTTTGGCTTTAGGAGGAAGCCATCATCGATAACTCAGCGATGTTTTAGCTGTAGCTGAGCAGTGCTGCACAGAACCAAGGACATTTTTGTTCTCAGCTTCTTGCTGCCCTGACAGTGAGGGGCTGGGGAGGGCCACAAGAAGGCAGGCAGGGATAAAACCAGGACAGCTGACCTCAAATAGCCAAAAGTATAACCCATACTATATGGCATCATGCAAAACAGTGATTGGCAGGGGGGAAGTTGCTTGTGCCTCATTTGTTTATGTATATACTTGTGTGTATATATACATGTATAAAATAATTATAATCCTTTTTTCCCTCTTCCTTTTTGTCTTTGTAAACAGTTTTTATCACGATCCATGAGTTACATGTTGTATTTATTTGGGCTTTTTTTTCCCCCAATTCTCTCTCCCATCCCACTGAGGAATGGAGGAGTGAGCAGTGGCACAAAATTCTGGCTGAAAAACCCTTTTTAGAGCAAACTGTTGATGGCTGAAAGCACCACAGGTGGTTACTGCTTCTGTACGTGTCAAATCCATTTTGCAATGAGCAAAGTGGAAGCTGGTATCAAAGGAAACATAGGGCACATCTCTGCTCTGCTAAAGCCACATTAGCAGGTTGGGATGTCACCCAGCCCAGGCACCTCTGACTGCTCAGAAGTGCCAATACAGACAAGCCTATTTAGCCCAGAGCATATGTTTTACACCAAAACATTTACTGAACAGTCAAACATGTTATCTCCATTTCTCCACTATAGAAAAAGACTGTAGGAAAGGTGAAATGGAAGATGCACAGCAATGCATCACACACTGAACACATGTTTAGAGATAAAATCACCAGCTGACACCTTCATACTTTGTCATAGCCACAGCTGAGAAAGGTCCCAGATTCACAAGGCACTGAGGTTACACTGATTTACATAGCTGTGTATTATATACAGGGGAGCTCTTGAAGAATTATCTGGGCAGGGAGTGAGGCAGCAGCACAGACAGTGGCCAGCAGAAAGCATCCCACACACAAAAGCCACTCGGTAAGCCTACAACTCTCCCCACCCCCCTACCAGTAGAGCACAGTGAGGAGGAGGAGAAGCGGGAGGAAGAGCATCCCCAGCACCAGCAGGCTGGGGAGTGTAGTGGTAGCAGGGGGGGCTTCACGTGTCTTCGTGGCCTTCACCGTCCGGTCCCACTGAGTGAAGATGGCTCTCCTGGCTCCACTCCACTTCCCCGGCCCTGTCAGGCGGAACTGGTAGGGGGTGCAGGGACCGAAGAAGACCTTCAGGGCCAGTAGTGGGTCTGTCAGCAACAGCTTGAGCACGTTGGGCTTCGCACCGATGGCTGAGGTCAGCTCATTCATGTAGGTGATGTAATCGGTCTGCAGCGTGTCACTTGTCCTGAACCTTTGAGAGAGAAGGTAGAGGAAGAGAGGGGACTGCTTTAGATCTCCTTATTTCTCTCGACATGACATCATCTTATGTTCTTGCTGCTTGAGGAGACCCTGTAGCAGCAGCCAGGATGGGCAGGGAGGAAATCCTCCTTAAATTCAGACACATTCAGTGCACAGTCAAAATAGCACAGGGATTTGGCAGATAACACAGACAGCTTTCTGTGCTCGGCAGCCGTCTTTTCCCCTGACATTAAAGCAAGGGCTGGGAAATCTGCTCTTCCAGAGAGTCTTGAGGAGCGGGATGATGTGCCCCTTGTCAGCCTAGGGAAGGTGGCACCTGTCCCTGCCACCCCCCAAAACTGTGGAGCAGTGCTGGGCTGGGGCATGGCCATACATCACTGCTCCTGCTGGTGGTGAAGGGATCTGGCTGCCCCTGCAGCTCTGTGCTTTGGAACTTCCTGCAGTGCAACAGTTTCTAAAAACAACACAAAACATTGCTTGGGCCATATTCAGCTTTAACTGTATTGATATTTGTCAAGTATTGCTTCACTATGAGATACGTGCAAAGAAGGGGGTAAACAAGACCTTTGTGTACTTTATGAAACAAAAAAATGTTACTGAAGAATGAGAACGAGGGAATGTTCTGTTTTTGCTTGGGCCTCACGTTCTGTGCAAGTAAGAAATGTTTTTTTCAGACTAACACTCTACAAATGCTGCAAAGCAGCATTTTCAGACAGGAAATCTTACCATTATAGATTTTCCGCACAGATTTGCCCAATTCAACCACCCTGGGGCAGTTGGAAACCTGAGAACTGACACAAAGGAAGCTGGGTAGGACCTTACTGTGTTGGCCCCAGTGGGCTTGCTCGTCTGGGACACGAACAGAGTAGTTCAGAACGGTCTCCTTGCAAGAAACTTGCCCCTGCTGCAGCCCTCCCCATGCCCACATCCATCCCACCCACGCTGAGATGACAGCAAGGCTTTTACTCCTCCTTCTTGGGCAGTGTCCCATGAGCTACACCTACCATCTGATCTTATTCCTCTTCTTCTCCTCTATGTCCTCCAGCATCTCGCTGACTGAGGGGAGAGTGCAGAGCCCTGGAAGATCAGGAAGAGTGTCAACAAAGGGTACGATGCCGAGGAGATCCCTCCTGTAGGTGGGGTCTGTAGGGGTCTGCTGAATCCTTGGGCATTTCTCTTCCCTTAGGTGTCAAGATCTGAGTTTGGATCAAACTTGGGCGTTGGGGTTGTAATAAAACAAATGCTCCTCTTCTTTAGGATGCATGATGATGCCCGGGTAGCTGCCCCACCACAGGGACCTTATGACATCTGCAGCTGGTCAATAAGTGACCTATTCCCCATGGTGCAAGGCAGCCCATCCCAGGGAGAACCTGTTACTGGTACTTCCAGCCCTCATGCACTGCCCTCATTTTTAGTTTGAACCTGTATATTGCTGATGGGAAATGCTTCTTCCCATTTAAGGACCTTAGCTCATTCACCTACCCTGAAACACCTTGACTGCCCAGCGGCACTGGACATCTGCTGTCGGGATGGCAGATCCAAAGGACTGGACCAACCCAATGACTGCCATGGTTGGCTTCTCCAGCTGAGGAGGAACAATGCATTTGTAGAGGTTAACCTCATTGTTCCTGCTTTCAATAATGGATTCATCCTCCATGAAAGGAAAGGAGTGAGAGTAGCCAGTGGCAAAGATAACCACATCGAGGTCATCCTGCACAGTCCCATCTTGAAACAAGACCGACGTTTCTCTGAATTCCTTCACACCTGGCTTTATCAGCACCACACCACAGGTGATGCGGCTCAGGATGTCATCATTCAACACCGGTTCTCTGCGGGATGCTCTGCAAGGAAAAAGTCTGAGTTGGCTCCTACTGCTGACCCTGGAAAGGCTAGATTCCACCCTGCCCGGGACCAGCACTTATGGTGCTTTTGAGAACAGATGGCCTCATGCTTACCCATCCACCGGCATTAGGCCAAAGTCTTCATGCTTGTACTGCTGGTTCATGCCCCTGACATAGAGCCAGTCACTGACTGACTTGGGGAGAAAGTTGTCCAGCCACGTCCAGAAGCGGGTGATGAGCAGCATATCCCAGGGGTAGCCGAAGTTCCAGACACGGCTCATCACCCAGGAGCCCCTTCGGGAGCTTAGGTAAACCTGAGGGACGGTGAAGCAGGGGTGAGCCACCCCCATGGTGGCCACCAGCTCCAACCAGTCCTGGTTCAGGTCTCCATACCTGTGAGGCCACGGTGCTGAGCTCCACAGCAATGTCACAGCCAGAGTTGCCCAAGCCGACCACCAGCACCTTCTTCCCTCTGAACTTTTCTGGCTCCTTGTACTCCCGGCTGTGTAAATAGCAGCCTTTAAATTTCTCTATCCCTAGGAGCAGGAAGACAAAAAGGGATGTAAGTTAGTGAAGAAGTCTGTCTGTGCTAACCTTGGAGGCTCCCATTCCTATAGGCGCTGCTGGAACATGTCTGGGAGTTGCTCACAGCAAAGGGATGCTGCAAACCTGTAGATAGGTTTTTGTCTCTGGATTCATTCAATATTTAAACAGAGAGGAGCATTCAAGAACAAGATAACTTTATGTGGTATTTGTGTGCCTTAAAGGTACAACCCAGCATCACCCTGAGACACCAGACCAGCCGTGGTCCATCCACTTGGTGTGTCTTTGTGCCTCTGCACCAGTAAGTGATGGGAAAACAACTTGAATTTTTAAAACAGAAGGTGACAAAGGACACAATGGGAGTTCTCCCAGCCAGCCTTCCAAGACCTCACCTTCTCCAAACAGACCCCCAGCACCAAATACTTCTCATCATAGGAAATTCTCCCACTGCTGATCCTGTAATCAGAGGCAAAGTTTGCACACAGCACTTGTACTAGAAACCACGGAAAAATGCCAAAAGTGCTTTAAGAAACCCTTCAGTGAAGAAACTTCTATTAAATGGAAACACCCTGCAATAATTTTTCCAGGAAATATTAGCATTGCCTCCAGTAAAAATGCCCCTGCTTTGACATGGTTTGGACACAGTCTTTTGTCTTAAAAAAAAAAAAGTTTTGATCTCCTGAACAGAGCTCACCCCTAACACCAATCTTTGATGCTGGGGAAAAAAAAAAAACACCCAACATTTGAATGTGAAGTGCACACCTGGCTGTGTGATGTTCAAGTTCATTTAGCTTACCTGGGAAGTGGGCAAGGGGGAGGTTTGGATAGACATGGTGCCCAGTGCAAACCATAACAGCATCAAAAACCGCTGCCTCTTCCTTCCCATCTTTTCGCGTAACCACCTCCCACTGCCCCGTAGCACTGAAGTCAGGGCGCTTCCTTATCTTGGTGACCGTGGTCTTAAAAGAAAGGGATAAAGGTGTGGGAAGTGCTCCAGGAGCCCCACTGCAGCCAGGCAGGCTCTGTCCTTGTCCCCATCAGACACAGTGTCACAGACTTGGCAATTATTTTGGATAGAGAAAACACACCGGTGTCCTCCCATTCCACGCGATTTTTCCATCCCAGAAGCAATGGTTTCCCCATATTGGTTATTTGACACTACCCAACCAGAAGCTGGTGAGACCCAATTTAACAAAACCAGCAAGCTTTTTCCCCAGGATGTCTACCCCAGGATTTTCTCTGAGATACAACAGCAACGTCCATCCCGCTTACCTTGAAGCGGATGTGCCGGAGAAGGTCAAAATGCTGTGCATAGTCACGGATGTACTTCTGGAGCCTTGTGTTGTGTATATAGTTGGGGTAGTCATCAGGGAAGGGGAAGTCAGGGTAGCACATCATCTCCTTGCAGGAATTGGTGAAGACAGTGCGGTAGATGCTAGCTCTGCCTTCCTCTGGCTTTTCCTGGAGGGAGAGGAAAGGGCTTTGGTTAGAGGGGTCAGTCATGGGCACCCCAGAAAGTCATAAGCCACAGGCAAGAAAATGCTAAGCTAGTCTGGACATAACCTCACCCAATTTCATGGCTACTAGGAGAATCTCAGTTTTGGAGACCTGAACTGCAATGTCTTGCTCTCAGAGCAATGTCTTCACCTGCAACCCACCTCCTCCAATGCTTTCTATGCCCTCCTTGCCTGGCCATGTAATTCCCAGCCTGTCCTTCCACTCAGCTTCACCAACCAAACCCAGAAACAAGGCCACTGAGCACCCCCAGGGAGTCATCCCTAGCCCACTGCTTACCTTTCTCGTATGCTCACAGGCTTTGTGAGCTCATCCCAAAGAGCCATATACAGTACATCCATGTTATAACCTCAGAGACCTCCATTCAGCATAATATTTTCTGCATTTACCTTATAGAAAGATTAGCTCTGTTGATGTCTGTGCTCAACTTTATGCAAATGCACAGCTGCTATTTTCAACTTCAAGCCTTGCTTCTTATAAACAACACTTGCAGAGTTCAAAGTGGTATTTCCCTCTGCTTAGCTGGAGCACACAGGGGACATTGCAGACTTATTGCTCAAAATGGAAAAAAATCCAGGCAACATCAGCAGCTAAGAAAAATACTTTACCCTAAATCTGCTCTCCATGCATCTGGCCTCCTGGCCAACACTCTTGTGACACAGCAAAGATCACATCCCTGCCAAAATCTCAGATGTCCTGTGTACAAGATGATCCAGCACTGTTGTCTGGACACCAGGGCATTCAAAGCAGCTGTTGACTTTTCTGGCTGGGATTTATATTCCCAGGTTTGCCCAGGTGGTATTAGGGGATGGACACACCTGCAGCAAGGGAACAGCAAATTTTGGGTGGCCACCTCACTGCAGGTTCACCTGCTCAGTAGGCAGAACAGGGCAGATGTGCAACATTTACCACATCTTTAATAAGCCACGGGGGTAATTAATAAAACAATGTTTCACCCAAGCAGAACTGCCACAAAACTTTGCCTTTTCTGCTATTAAAGTTTGGTTAAAAATACACCCAAGGGAGCTTGAAGGAAACAGAAGAATATAAGGTCATTTGCATCAGAACAAAACAAAAGAAGAAGGAATAAAGGAAGAAAGCCTCACCAAACCTTAAGCTCTAAGTGTTTTATTACACTCTTGTCAAAATAAGAGTCTCACTCTTATTTATAAGGGGCTGGAGGTGTCCGTGTTCCAGCTGATCCTAGAATCAGCAAGCCCAGATCAGTATCTTGCTGAAATTACTCTGTACAACGCTTTTGCATTCCAAAAATATTCTGGGTTAAAAATTAAACCAACTCCTCAGGTTTCTAGTGATAGAATGTGTGGGTGACACCAGGTAGGATCCGTAGGAACACCCCAAAGCCATCAAGTATAGTAACCAACTGACCCCTACGCGTGCAAATGTGCCCCGAGGGGCTGTGAGAAATGCCTGGGGAATGCCCTCAAGAGCTGGCTAGCCATCACCCAGAGCTAACCTGATGTCTTCACCCCTCTACTATGAGATTTAACGTGGTCATTTCCTCCGCTTGAGCAGCTCTTGCAGCCGCCACTCCCCAAACTCTCCCCTAGCCCCAGGCTGCCAGAGGACCACGCAGCCCCTCACCGTGTAGCGCCACAGCCCCCCGATGTCCTCACTCTGCTCGAAGCAGGTGGGCTCCAGCCCCTCTTCCAGGCAGCACTTGGTGGCTGCCAACCCGCTGATGCCTGCGCCCACCACAGCCACGCGTCGCACCATGGTGTCCTGCGGGCGGGAGAGAGGCTGTCATGGTGCCATGTTGCGCTCTTAGGCCCAGCCTGGCCCCGTGCAACACCTGGAGCTTTTTCATCTGTCCTCGCTTACCTGTGCAGCCTGCGGTGCTTCAGAGCTTGGAGTGGGAGCTGTGGGAGGAGAGGATCTGTGGCTTTGAGGCGTTTCCTGCCAAGAGCAAAGCTTTTATCTGGCACGGCATGGGAGGCAGGGCCAGAGCCCTGCAGCAGTTTGGATGGCTGCCTTCTGCTGGGTGGACTTTAGCAGTCCCACAGCTGCAAGTGAGGAGCTGCGGGATCCGAGCTCTTGGGTTAGGAAATCAGTGTTTTGGGCTGGAATTATTTCCAAGCAAGAGGTCAAGGACACCAAACAGCTCCCCCCAGCACCTCTGCAGAGCTGCATGGAGTCATCCAAGTCACTGTGAGCAGACGAGGCTCTGGAGAAGCTGCACAACAAATTCTGCGTTCAGTTCTGAGCCTCTCACTACAGAAAAGACATGGAGGCCCTGGAGTGCGTCCAGAGAAGGGCAGCAGGGCTGTGCGGGGTCTGGAGCACAAGCATGATGGGGAGTGGCTCAGGGAATGGGATGGGTCAGCGTGGAGAAGAGGAGCTCAGGGGACACCTTATTGCTTTCTCCAACTGCCTGAAAGGCTGTGGTGAGGTGGGGGTTGGCCTCTGCTCCTGGGTAACCGCAAGAGGATGGGAAGCGATGGGATCAGGTTGTGTCAGATAAGACACATTTTTATGGAACCATTTATGTATTTTAATACATAATTTCATTGACAGGGCAATTCTATTCTTTTCTCAGAATATAAAGTGCTTAAAATAGCAGAGATTGAAATAATTTGCTTTTTAAAATTGTTTATTTGTTTTTAATATACATATCTGGGCATTAGAGAATCATAGGGGTAGGAAATGACCTCTGGAGATTCCCCAGTCTGATCCTTGCTAAGGCATGTTCCCTGGAGCAGACTGCACAGAAAAGCATCCAGTTGGATTTTGAATATCTCCATAGAGGGAAACTCCACAATATCTGTGAGCATCTTGCTCCAGTGCTCTGTGGGTTAAGTAGGAATACAGAAACTTTAAAATATTTGAGACCAGAGTCATCAAATTTAGACTTAACTCAAGCTAATTTACTATACTGATATACTAAGAAAATTCTTTATTTTCTATTTTTCCCTATAGGCTTATTGGAGGAGATATTCTGCAAGGAAAAGTTATTCACAGCCAAGATACTATGTTATTTTTGTACAAGCAAGGATAAGGATGTTGTTATCTATCACTGCATATAAACAAATTCTTTGGGCTACTGTTACAATTCAGAATCATCTGCATGCATCTAAACTGGCAAAGGAAGATCAACAAAGATACAAAATCTTAAGGTCTTCAGCACTTACTATACAATCTGCATTCAGCAAACTGAGAAAACAAAATTCAGAAGAAAATTAGAGCTGCTTTAGTGCTCCGGAGGTATTTCAGAAAATGGCAATCTTCAAAACTGGCTAAAAGAAAGAGAGCTGCCCTTGTCATTCAGTCTTGGTATAGGTCACACACAGATGAAACCGTATCTACGTATTAAGCAAAGCATTACCAAGACTCAGGCTTGGTACAGGTGTCAGATAGCTAGGAGTATTTACCAGGAATACAGGGCACAGGTAGTGACCATTCAGCAGTATTAGAGAGCTTATAAATCAGGGAAAAATGAGAAAGAACTATTTGCAAAAGCGTGCAGCAGCAGAAGTTCTCCAGGCTGCTTTTAGAGGCAAGAAAGCACATGTATGATACAGGGAAACAAAAGCAGCTTGTGTTGCTCAATCACTGTGGAGAATGAGACAAGCAAATTTTTACAATTAAAAAAAATCTGTTACTATATTGCAGTCATGTGAGAAAATAACAACAGGTAAAAAAATATGAAGAGATGAAAAATGCTGCTTCTGTAATTCAAGCTTGGTAAAGGGCATGTGTCACTTCTAGAAAAGCAGCCTTATCTCTCAGAAGCAGAGGATGCTTCTGGTCGCCATTGTTCTTCAGTCTGTCTGCAGAGGGAGGAAAGCTAGGAAAGAAGCTCACATATTGAGATCTGTGATAAAAATTCAGTCATGTTTTCATGCTTATGTCATCCAAAAGAGATTTAAAGACTTGAGAAATGCTACAGCGAAAATTCAAGCTTGTGTAAAGATGAGACAAGCTCGTAGGTATTACTGTGCCTTAAGGGAAGCAACGCTTTATGTCCAGCAAAGGTATCAGTCCTGTAGATGTGCTCTTCAACTTAGGGAAGATTATAGGAAATTGCAGGGAGCCTGCATAAGAATTCAAGCTGTAGTTCAAGACTGTCTCGTCAGGAAGCAAATAAAAAAGTGGAGGGAGATTGCAATATTTCTCCAAGCACAGTACAGAATGAGGAGGACCAGGGCACATTATTTAATTATCTACAATGCTGCTGCTGTCATTCAAAAACAATATCATGCATACCACAAGCAACTCTGTCAGAGGCAGAAGTTCCTGCAAGTTAAAAAAGCAGCAGTGTGCATACAGGCAGCCTACAGGGATTATAAGGCACGCAAAAAGCTTAAGCTTGAACACAGAGCTGCTGTCAAAATTCAGACAGCTTTTAGAGTTCATGCAGCAAGAAAAAATATCAGGCAATGATTCAAGCTTCTGTTGTGATTCAGAGATGGTACAGAACTTGCAAGACCAGTAACAGGCAAAGACTGACCTTTCTGAAGACAAGAGCAGCTGTGCTTACTTTACAAGCAGCTTTTTGCAGTTATCAGGTTCAAAAGGAAATTCGAAGACAATGTGCTGCTGCAACTGTAATACAATCTGCCTTCAGAAAATTCATGGCTCTGCAAACGTTCAGACTTATGAACCATGCTGCACTCACTGTCCAAAGGCATTACAGAGCCAACATCACAAGCCAAAAACAATGGCAGGAGTACATTGAGAGAGGTGATTGTCCCCTGTACTCTGCTCTTGTGAGGCCCCATCTGGAGTACTGTGTCCAGGTCTGGAGCCCCCAGTACAAGAAAGACAGGGAGCTGTTGGAGAGGGTCCAGAGGAGGGCCACAAAGATGATCAGGGGACTGGAGCACCTCCCCTGTGAGGACAGGCTGAGGGAGCTGGGCTTGTTCAGCCTGGAGAAAAGAAGGCTGCGGGGTGACCTCATTGCA